CCAAACTCATATACCCAAACCCAAACCCAAACTCAAATACCCAAACCCAAACCCAAACCCAAACCCAAACTCAATACCCAAACTCACCAAACCCAAACGGTTTGGGTTTGGTGCATGCCTATGTGTAACCAATATGTCATTTTTCTTCCATTAAATCTCGATAGTCATAACCAAGACGATTAAATAACGATATTTTTATTTTTGAATTAATTAAATTTCAAGAAAAAAACAATGGATCTTACTCGCATGCTTGCTTGATTGAATAATTTTCTGGTACAGCATTTTCATCACCATATTGTTCTTGTTGTCTACTAAGGAGAAGATAAAAAAAACATCTAAATAATTATTTTTAATATCTAATATATTCTTAATGAACATTCGATGGATGTGAAACACCAGTTAATGTACAACGAGCAGCTGATGGCATCGGTGTATAAGCTTGATTACGTGGAAAAATTGATCTAGAAATCAATTTTAAAGATAAAATATCGATTAAATTTAATCGTTACGATCGTGACTGAACAGGTCGATCACGTGTTAAACTCATTGTTGGACGACTTGTTTGATGATGAGTTATTCTATGAATGAAATACATATGATAATTTTCGAATATTCAAGATCTTAAAACACAATATATTAGAGAATTTACAAATTGTCTAATGCACTCATCTCATTGGAAACTTAATTCATACAAACTTCTGAAAACTAACTCTTCTATTATTTATCTAATAAACACCATAAAGTGTTGCAATTTTCCATATGATATCACATGAATAGATGCAACAATTTTTTATGATGACGAATATCCGTTAAACAATAGTGCAGTAGACAAATCTCTTACTTTGCTTGTTGATGTTGAACTGGTGATGGTTGACTGAAATATAACCAAAAAAAAACAAAGAAGTTTAAAGTTGTATGCACAAAAATGATGAATCATATTTACGGTGTTGTAACGATAAGATGATTTTATCGTGATATCGAACTGCTTTATTTCACTAATTCTTCTCCTTTTATAGTTACATTCCCCTGCTTCGGGGCACGTCAATCAACCGGAGAGAAGGGAAGAG